TTTCAGAGAAATTCTTCCCTCAAAAAAGAGCTGCGCAGGAGCAGATGCCTCCTCCTATGCCACCTATAGGACCAGCATTTATGCCTCCTCCTCCTGGAGTGGTATGTCTTTTCATCGTTTTTCATGCATTCTAGAATTTTTTTCCATCTTCAGATTCCTCCTCCGGGAGTGCCTCCGCCTCCATTCATGATCGCTCCTCCGATCCCTGGCAAAGAAGCCAAAAGAATTAAATTCAATGACGAGGAGAGCGATGAAAATGAGCTTTTCGGTAAGCATTATGCTTCTGTACTATGAGTTTGTCCTACTGAGTTAATCTCAATTTTTTAAAGCGAAGCTGCTCTATAAAAAGTTGAGATCGATTACCAGCAGAAAGCGGTTGGAAATTCTACACGTTTCTATCATGGAAATGGTCAGACAGGCACAAGAAGAGGACGAAAGAGAGAGAAATGCTAGTGGGATGGATCCAAATGCTCCACAAATGGTTTAGGGAACATATATCATCATTGTCGAGTCTCATTCATTCCAAAGCTCTTTAATAGAGCTTTAAACCTTCATTAATGAAGAATTTTGGCTTTTAATCCGTGATGCAGTATTTAATAGTGAACGCCATAGATTGCATGTGGTATGTATTTATTGTCTTGTTGCTAATCTCTAATGAAGTTATTGAAAGATCATCTGTTATGCAGGGATGGAAATCTTAACATTTGGAACTGATCTGCTTATACACACGTTTGAATGAGTTAATCAAAAGTGATTAGCTTGTTAAAATCAATATGCGTTCCTTAATTTTCTGTAATAGAGAGAGTTAAAGCTCATCAAAGTAACATGCGAAAAGTACCTCTCTTATTCATCTTCCCTTCCATCTCCTGACGTTGGTTACTACTACTTATTCTTAAGAAGAAAGATTACCCAGTCAAAGTGGCGGTTTCAAAAGTGATTCAAACTGATAGATGCAACTCAAGCGCTGATTTTAACCTGTCTTCCATAACTGCTAAGCGTTTCCTGGAAAAAGAATTATGGACGATATACTCTGGGGAAGAAATAACAGAACAATAAGGATAAAGGAGCTGTAAAAATGCACAAAACTTTGTTCCAAAATGGCAAAGCTGAAGCTACATATGCATTGAAATTTCCAAATAACCTATGCGTTGTCTCTTTTGAATTCGACGCTTCGAATAAGTTTCTTTCACGTTAGAAGTTA